CCGCCGCGGCCTCCTCGCTCTTGGGCTCCGCCATCGTCTCCGCCATCATGGCCGCGCTGGGGGAGATGGATAGGTGTAACAGCCAATCAGGGGAGATTGATAGGTGTAACAGCCAATCAGCGCTGCGGAAACCGCGGATGGGCGGTTAATCAGCCAATGGGGTGCGGGCTTGCTGGCATAATAGGCGGGATTAAGGGAGAAAGGGGTTGTGGGAAGGAAGGTTGTACGGAAAATCGCTGTACGGACACACGGACACGGCCGCGGTCGAGCCAAGGTTTATTTAAGCCACGAAAGATCAGAAAGCGCCTCTGTCATCCCGGTTATGGCCGCCCGCGGTGTTTCGCCGGGCAGAGTAGGCTCCTCCACGGCCGCGGCCATGGCAGGATCAACATAGCGGCGTCGCTAGGTAACCGCTCTGATTGATGGATCCAAGAACCAATCAGCGACGAGAAAACGGAAAGGTGGAAAGAATAAGCCAATTGGATGCTGAGACATGCCGGAGTAGGCGGGACTTAAGGAGAAGGGGATTATGGGAAGGCAAAGTTGTACGGAAAACTCAGTGCGGCCTCTTTGTCGCCGTCGCTTGGCAACCAGCTTGATTGACAGTTCCAAAATCCAATCAGAAAAGAGAAAGCAGAGATGCGGAGTGGCTCAGCCAATGGAACGCCGAGTTCTGCCGGAAGGGGAGGGACGTGTGGGAGTGTGTACGGAAAGAGGCGGAAGCGCCGCGGAGCCGCCGGGAACCGGACCGGGATCGTCGGGATCGGAATTATCGGGATTATCGGGATAACCGGGATCGAGGAGAGGGCCCAGAGCCCTCCAGGCTCCGCCGGGGATGTTCCACGGCATCGCAGGCCCGGCCGGGATGGGCGGTGAGAGGCGGGAGCGATCCCGGAATTGCCGTGATGGGATCCCTTGGGATGATCCCGAAATTCCCTGGGTGGAATTCCCGGTTTTCCTCCCTTTTAACCCTTTCCTTCCTCCCACAGCAGCGCCTGGGAATAAACCGGAGCTTTACGAGGTGAGTGCGGGTCGGGAATAGCCGAGAACGGCCGAAGATGGCCGGAAATGCCCGGGGGTCTCCGGAAATGGCCGAGGATGACCGGAGGTCTCCGGAAATGGCCGAGGATGACCGGAAATAGCCGGAAATGCCCAAATATGACCGGGAATGACCCCTGGAAATTTGGGAATTTTGGGAATATCCAGGAATTTCGGGAATTTTGTGTCTGCTCTCCCCGCAGGAGGTGAAGCTCTACAAGAACGCCCGCGAGAGGGAGAAGTGAGTGAGGGAATTTTGGGGATTTTTTTGGAATTTTGGGATGGGGATGGAGGCGTTTGGGGTTGGGATTTAATCCCAGTCGGTTCCAGTCCATCCAAATCCATCTCAGTCATTCCAAATCCATCCCAGTCCTTCCCAGTATCCCGTTATCCCATCCCAGTCCATCCAAATCCATCCCAGTCCTTCCCAGTATCCCGTTATCCCATCCCAGTCATTCCAAATCCATCCCAGTCCTTCCCAGTATCTCATCCCAGTCCACCCCAGTATCCCAGTATCCCATCCCAGTATCCCATTATCCCATCCCAGTTCATTGAAATCCATCCCAGTCCATCCCAGTATCTCATCCCAGTTAATCCCAGTCTATGTAAATCTGTTCAAATCAATCCCAGTCCATCCCATTATCCCATCCCAGTCCATCCCAGTCCATCCCAGTATCCCATTATCCCATCCCAGTATTCCATTATCCCATCCCAGTCCATCCCAGTATCCCGTTATCCCATCCCAGTATCCCATTATCCCATCCCAGTCCATCCAAATCCATCCCAGTCCTTCCCAGTATCCCATTATCCCATCCCAGTCCATCCCAGTATCCCAACCCAGTATCCCAGTATCCCATCCCAGTCCATCCCAGTATCCCATTATCCCATCCCAGTCTATCCCAGTATCCCATTATCCCATCCCAGTCCATCCCAGTGTCCCATTATCCCATCCCAGTGTATCCCAGTATCCCATTATCCCATCCCAGTCCATCCCAGTATCCCATTATCCCATCCCAGTATCCCATTATCCCATCCCAGTCCATCCCAGTGTCCCATTATCCCATCCCAGTCCATCCCAGGATCCCGTTATCCCATCCCAGTCCATCCCAGTCCATCCCAGTCCATCCCAGTATCCCATTACCCATTCCAGTCCATCCCAGTATCCCATTATCCCATCCCAGTCATTCCAAATCCATCCCAGTCCTTCCCAGTATCTCATCCCAGTCCATCCCAGTATCCCAGTATCCCATCCCAGTATCCCGTTATCCCATCCCAGTTCATTGAAATCCATCCCAGTCCATCCCAGTATCCCATTATCCCATCCCAGTCTATCCCAGTATCCCATTATCCCATCCCAGTATCCCATTATGCCATCCCATTATCCCATCCCATTATCCCATCCCAGTCTATCCCAGTATCCCATTATCCCATCCCAGTCCATCCCAGTATCCCATTATCCCATCCCAGTATTCCATTATCCCATCCCAGTCCATCCCAGTATCCCGTTATCCCATCCCAGTATCCCATTATGCCATCCCATTATCCCATCCCATTATCCCATCCCAGTCTATCCCAGTATCCCATTATCCCATCCCAGTCCATCCCAGTATCCCGTTATCCCATCCCAGTATTCCATTATCCCATCCCAGTCCATCCCAGTATCCCGTTATCCCATCCCAGTCCATTGAAATCCATCCCAGTATCTCATCCCAGTTAATCCCAGTCTATCCAAATCCATTCAAATCAATCCCAGTCCATCCCATTACCCCATTATCCCATTCCAGTCCATCCCAGTATCCCGTTATCCCATCCCAGTATCCCATTATCCCATCCCAGTCCATCCAAATCCATCCCAGTCCTTCCCAGTATCCCATTATCCCATCCCAGTCCATCCCAGTATCCCAACCCAGTATCCCAGTATCCCATCCCAGTCCATCCCAGTATCCCATTATCCCATCCCAGTCTATCCCAGTATCCCATTATCCCATCCCAGTCCATCCCAGTGTCCCATTATCCCATCCCAGTCTATCCCAGTATCCCATCCCAGTCCATCCCAGTCCATCCCAGTATCCCATTATCCCATCCCAGTCCATCCCAGTCCATCCCAGTATCCCATTATCCCATCCCAGTCCATCCCAGTCCATCCCAGTCCATCCTAGTATCCCATCCCAGTATCCCAGTATCCCATCCCAGTCCATCCCAGTCCATCCCAGTCCATCCCAGTATCCCATTATCCCATCCCAGTCCATCCCAGTATCCCGTTATTCCCGTTATTCCGGAATATTCCCAACTATTTCCACCATTCCCAAACCTCACCAAATATTCCTAAATATTCTCTCCATTTCCAAATATTCCTGAATATTCTCAAGTATTCTCAAATATCCCAAAAATTACCCAAAATTACTAAAAATTCCCATAAACTCCCCAAAATTCCTAAACGTTCTCTCCACTCCCAAACGTTCCCTAAAAATCCTAAAATTCCCCCCAAAATTCCCCCCAAAATTCTCCAAATATCCCCCCAAAATTCCCGAAAATCTCCAAAAACTCCCCCAAAATTCCCCAAATAACCCCAAAAATTCCCCCAAAATTCTCAAAAATCCCCCAACCTCCCCCAAAAATCCTCAAAATCCCCCCAAAATTCCATCAAAGCTCCCAAAAATTCCCCAAAAATTCCCTTAAAATCCCAAAAAAATCCCCCAAAAAATTCCCTTAAAATCCCCAAAAATTCCCCAAAAAATCCCAAAAAATCCCAAAAAATCCCTAAAAAATCCCCAAAAATTCCCCAAAAAATCCCAAAAAATCCCCCAAAAAATCCCCATAAATCCCCTAAAAAATCCCTAAAAACCCCCAAAATCCCTTAAAAAATCCCAAAAAAATCCCCCCCAAAATCCCAAAAAATCCCCAAAAAATCCCCAAAAAATTCCCAAAAAATCCCCAAAAAATCCCCCAAAAATCCCCAAAATCCCCCCAAAAATCCCCCAAAATTCCCAAAAAAATCCCAAAAAAATGCCCCAAAATTCCCAAAAAATGCCCCAAAAATTCCAAAAAAAATCCCAAAAAAACCCCCCAAAATTCCCAAAAAATGCCCCAAAAATTCCCAAAAAAATCCCCAAAATCCCCCCAAAAATCCCCCCAAATTCCCCCAAAAATCCCCAAAAAACTCCAAAAAATTCCCAAAAAATCCCCAAAAATCCCAAAAAAATCCCAAAAAATCCCCAAAAAACCCCCCAAAAATTCCTAAAATTCCCCCAAAAATCCCCAAAAAATCCCCAAAAATTCCCAAAAAATTCCCAAAAAATCCCAAAAAATCCCCAAACACCCCAGAACATCCCAGACCAGCCCAGAACATTCCGGAACGTTCCCAGGTACGACAACATGGCCGAGCTGTTTGCGGTGGTGAAGACGCTGCAGGCTCTGGAGAAGGCCTACATCAAAGACTGCGTCACCCCCAACGAGTACGGCCAAAAATTCCCAAAAAACTCCCCAAAAATACCAAGAAATCCCTAAAAATTCTCTTTAAACCTCCCAAAATTCCCCCAAAAATTCCCTTAAAATCTCTAAAATCTCCTAAAAATCCCTTAAAAAATTCCAAAAAAATCCCCAAATAATCCCCCCAAAAATCCCCCAAAATTCCCATAAAATGCCCCAAAATTCCCAAAAAATGCTCCAAAAATTCCAAAAAAAATCCCAAAAAAACCCCCCAAAATTCCCAAAAAATCCCCCAAAATTCCCAAAAAATCCCCAAAAATTCCCAAAAAATCCCAAAAAATCCCCAAACACCCCAGAACATCCCAGACCAGCCCAGAACATTCCGGAACGTTCCCAGGTACGACAACATGGCCGAGCTGTTTGCGGTGGTGAAGACGCTGCAGGCTCTGGAGAAGGCCTACATCAAAGACTGCGTCACCCCCAACGAGTACGGCCAAAAATTCCCAAAAAACTCCCCAAAAAACCCCGGAAAAATCAAGAATTCCTTAAAAGAATTCCCGGATTTGGGATTTTTCCCGGGATTTTTCAGGTACACGGCCGCCTGTTCCCGGCTGTTGGTTCAGTTCAAGGCTGCCCTCAAACAGGTGCAGGGAGCGGAGATCGCGTCCATCGATGAGTTCTGCCGGAAATTCCGGGTGGGAATTCCGGGAATTTGGGGAATTCTGGGATTCGGGAGGAAAATTGGGATTTTAGGGGAATTTTTGGGATTTTTTTTGGATTTTTTGGGGGGGATTTTGGCGTTTTTTCTTCATCTTTTTGAGTTTTTTAGGGGGGACGTTGAGGGAAATTTGGGGTTGAAGTGGAGAAATTAATTGGAAAAATTCGGGAATGAAACTTGGGAATTTTGGGATTGGGAATTTGGGGCAAAAATTTGGGATTTTGGGGCTTTTTGGGATTTTTTGGTGTTTTTTTTTGGATTTTTTTTATTTTTTGGAGGGTTTTTGGGGACTTTGAGAGAATTTTGGGGATGAAACGGAGAAATTAATTGGAAAAATTTGGGAATGAAACTTGGGAATTTTGGGAATTTTGGGAGTGGGGATTTGAAGCAGAAATTTGGGATTTTTGGGGTGTTTTTTTTGGAATTTTTGGGATTTTTTTTTATTTTTGGGGGGATTTTTTTGGGAATTTTGGGGTTGAAGTGGAGAAGTGAAATGGAAAAATTTGGGAATTTTGGGATTGGGGATTTGGGGCAGAAATTTGGGACTTTTTGGGATTTATTGGGAATTTTTTGGGATTTTTTTTGGGGGTTTTGGATTTTTTTTTAATTTTTTGGAGGGTTTTTGGGGACTTTGAGGGAATTTTGGGGATAAAATGGAGAAATTAATTGGAAAAATTTGGGAATGAAATTTGGGAATTTTGGGAATTTTGGGATTGGGGATTTGAAGCAGAATTTTGGGTTTTTTGGGGCGTTTTTTATGGAATTTTTGGGATTTTTTGGGGGGAATTTTGGGGTTTTTTCTTCATTTTTTTGAGTTTTTTAGGGGGGACGTTGAGGGAAATTTGGGGTTGAAGTGGAGAAATTAATTGGAAAAATTCGGGAATGAAATTTGGGAATTCTGGGATTGGGGAATTTGGGGCAAAAATTTGGGATTTTGGGGCTTTTTGGGAATTTTTTGGGAATTTTTTGGGATTTTTGGGGGGATTTTTGGGATTTTTTTTATTTTTTGGAGGGTTTTTGGGGACTTAAAGGGAATTTTGGGGATGAAACGGAGAAATTAATTGGAAAAATTTGGGAATGAAACTTGGGAATTTTGGGAATTTTGGGATTGGGGACTTGAAGCAGAAATTTGGGATTTTTGGGGTGGTTTTTTTTGAATTTTTGGGATTTTTTTTTATTTTTGGGGGGATTTTTTTGGGAATTTTGGGGTTGAAGTGGAGAAGTGAAATGGAAAAATTTGGGAATTCTGGGATTGGGAATTTGGGGCAAAAATTTGGGATTTTGGGGCGTTTTGGGAATTTTTTGGGAATTTTTTGGGATTTTTGGGGGGATTTTTGGGATTTTTTTTATTTTTTGGAGGGTTTTTGGGGACTTAAAGGGAATTTTGGGGATGAAACAGAAATTAATTGAAAAAATTTGGGAATGAAATTTGGGAATTTTGGGAATTTTGGGATTGGGGATTTGAAGCAGAAATTTGGGATTTTGGGGTTTTTTTTTGGAATTTTTGGGATTTTTTGGGGGGGAATTTTGGGGTTTTTTCTTCATCTTTTTGAGTTTTTTTGGGGGGACGTTGAGGGAAATTTGGGGTTGAAGTGGAGAAATGAATTGGAAAAATTCGGGAATGAAATTTGGGAATTCTGGGATTGGGAATTTGGGGCAAAAATTTGGGATTTTGGGGCGTTTTGGGAATTTTTTGGGAATTTTTTGGGATTTTTTGGGGGATTTTTGGGATTTTTTTTTATTTTTTGGAGGGTTTTTGGGGACTTTGAGGGAATTTTGGGGATGAAACGGAGAAATGAATTGGAAAAATTTGGGAATGAAACTTGGGAAATTTGGGAATTTTGGGATTGGGGATTTGAAGCAGAAATTTGGGATTTTGGGGGGGGTTTTTTGGTTTTTTTTGAATTTTGGGATTTTTTTTCTATTTTGGGGGGATTTTTGAGGGAATTTTGGGGTTGAAGTGGAGAAGTGAAATGGAAAAATTTGGGAATTTTGGGATTGGAAATTTGGGGCGAAAATTTTGGATTTTGGGGGTTTTTGGGGGGTTTTTTGGGAATATTTTGGGGGATTTTTGGGATTTTTTGGGGGAGGATTTTTGAGGGAATTTTGGGGTTGAACCGGAAAAATCAAACGGAAAAATCTGGGAATGAAATCTGGGAATTTTGGGAATTTGGAGCTGGAATTTGGGGATTGAGGGAAGCGGGTGCAGGGAGCGGAGATCGCGTCCATCGATGAGTTCTGCCGGAAATTCCGGGTGGGAATTCCGGGAATTTTGGGAATTTTGGGAATTCGGGATTTTTTGGGATTTTTTGGGATTTTTTTCAGAATTTTTTTGGGATTTTTGGGGATTTTTGGGGGCTTTTTGGGGATTTTTTAGGGATTTTTGAGGTAATTTGGGGGGGAAGTGAAGCGAAATGAAAAAATTTGGGAATGAAATTGGGGAATTTTGGGAATTCAGGAATTTTGGGAATTTGAGAAAAAATGGGAGTTTTTAGAAGAATTTTTTTTGGAATTTTTGGGGATTTTTGGGGGGTTTTTTTTGGATTTTTTGGGGGTTTTTTGGGGATTTTTTAGGGATTTTTGAGGTAATTTGGGCGAGAAGTGAAGTGAAATGGAAAAATTTGGGAATGAAATTGTGGAATTTTGGGAATTCAGGAATTTTGGGAATTTGAGAAAAAATGGGAGTTTTTAGAAGAATTTTTTTGGGAACTTCTTGGGATTTATTTTGATTTTCTTTGAGCCTGGAATGAGAATATTTGGGATTAAAATTCAGATTTTGGGGGGATTTTGGTGGGAATTTCAGGAATTTTAGGCGTGACTTTGGATGGTGGATTGGGATATTTGGGAATTTTAGAAATTTTGGGAATTTTGAGCCAGAAATGAGAATATTTGGGACTAAAATTCAGATTTTTTGTTGTTTTTTTTTTATTTTTATGGGAATTTTTGCAGGAATTCCGGGAATTTTGGGCCTGAATTTGGATGGTGGATTGGTAAAATTCAGATTTTTTGTTGTTTTTTTTTATTTTTATGGGAATTTTTGCAGGAATTCCGGGAATTTTGGGCCTGAATTTGGATGGTGGATTGGAAAATCCGGGAATTCTGGGAATTTTGGGAATTTTGAGCCTGAAAATGAGAATATTTGGGATTAAAACTCAGATTTTTTTTGGTTTTTTTAATATTTTTATGGGGATTTTTTTGGGAATTCCGAGGATTTGGGGCTCGAGGCGTGCCAGAGGATTGGGAATTTTTTGGGAATGGTGGGAATTCTGGGAATTTTCCAGCTGGATTGTCCCCTGGCCATGGAACGGATCCGCGAGGATCGACCCATCACCATCAAGGACGACAAAGGGAACCTGAATCGCTGCATCGCCGACATCGTCTCCGTACGGGCGGGAAAACGGGAATTTCCCGGGAATTCCGGGAATTCTGGGAATGTCTGGGGAATTTGGGAATTTGGGGGATTTTTAAAAAATTTTTTGGGATTTTTTTTGGAGTTTTTTGGGGAATTTTAGTGAATTTTAAGAGGATTTTTCTTTAATTTTTGGGATATTTTTTGAGGGTTTCCTGGAAATTTTTGGGAATTTTTTGGGAATTTTCAGGGGATTTTCAGGGAATTTTTTGTGGATTTTTTGTGGATTATTTTTGGGAGTTTTAAGAGAATTTTTTGTGATTTTTTTGGGATTTTTTTTGTTACTTTTTAGGGCATTTTTGGGGTTATTTTTGGTGTTTCTGGGGAATTCTTTGGGAACCTGAATCGCTGCATCGCCGACATCGTCTCCGTACGGGCGGGAAAACGGGAATTTCCCGGGAATTCCGGGAATTCTGGGAATGTCTGGGGAATTTGGGAATTTGGGGGATTTTTAAAAAATTTTTTGGGATTTTTTTTGGAGTTTTTTGGGGAATTTTAGTGAATTTTAAGAGGATTTTTCTTTAATTTTTGGGATATTTTTTGAGGGTTTCTTGGGAAATTTTTGGGAATTTTTTTGGGAATTTTTTGGGGATTTTCAGGGAATTTTGGGGGGATTTTTTGAGGATTTTTTTGGTTTCTTGTGAGGAAGTTTTGAGATTTTTGGAGTGACTTTTTGAGAATTTTGGGGGATTTTTTTTGGTTTTTTTGGAGTTTTTTTGAGGATTTTTTGGGGGTTTTTTTTTTAATTTTTGTAATTTTGGGGGGATTTTTTTGTGAATTTTTTGTGGATTTGGGGGGAATTTTTTTTTTATTTTGGGGGAATTTTTCTGGAATTTTTTTGGGATTTTTAGGGAATATTTTGGGATTTTTGTGGGGATTTTTGGGAAATTTTGGGGAATTTCTTGGGGAGTTTTAAGAGAATTTTTTGGGATTTTTTTGGGATTTTTTTGTTCTTTTTTAGGGCATTTTTGGGGTTATTTTTGGTGTTTCTGGGGAATTCTTTGGGAACCTGAATCGCTGCATCGCCGACATCGTCTCCGTACGGGCGGGAAAACGGGAATTTCCCGGGAATTCCGGGAATTCTGGGAATGTCTGGGGAATTTGGGAATTTGGGGGATTTTTAAAAAATTTTTTGGGATTTTTTTTGGAGTTTTTTGGGGAATTTTAGTGAATTTTAAGAGGATTTTTCTTTAATTTTTGGGATATTTTTTGAGGGTTTCTTGGGAAATTTTTGGGAATTTTTTTGGGAATTTTTTGGGGATTTTTAGGGGCTTTTCAGGGAATTTTGGGGGGATTTGGGATGGGGATGATCCCAAATTTCCTTTGGAATTCCGGCAGCTTTTCATCACGGTCATGGACAAACTGCGCCTGGAGATCCGCGCCATGGACGAG